TTATCTCAGGTGTAATTGCAATATTTGTAAGAAGGATTTTAAAGGTTTGAATTAGCTCTTGAATTAGATTTTAAAGGTTTGAAACCCACGGCAGATTAAACATGATTGACTAGTAGGTCTGTTACAAGCGGCAACAATATTTCTATCTGCATATGTTCATTTTTAATACAAATGAAACAGCATTAAAATGCCCTAAGAATACGCAAGACTAGTTGTGAACAAACTCCTTAAAGACAGCTAATACACTCGGAAATACAACTTACACGGCCCCTGCCCCGTCCTTTCTCTCTTCCATCCCATCCTCTTCCTAATCTTCCACTCATCTTGTTTCTTCCTTCACCACCATCTTGTTTCTCAACATTCACTTGACAACCACGAGCAAAACTTCGGCCTTGAGGACTTAATACGATACCATCAAGCCTGAACAGTAAATAAAGTTGAGTTTAGTCGTTTGCAACTATTTATGGCTGCTAATCTCCCAACAAAAGGCCCTATAATGGTTTCAGGTTGTTCTGACTGGCTTCAGGTAGTTTTCTGGTATGTCGTAGGGTCAACGAATTAACCGTTTAAGAGGCAATGCACCCTGATGAGCACTGCTTTATTATCTTACTCTGTCTAACTCCAGGTAATTATAGGTAATTATATATCAGTGTAGGTAATTATATATCAGTGTTTCTTGGTGTAATGGACCATACTTCGTCTTCGAGAAATCGTCCTGTGCAAAAATATGTTCTGTTTTCGTAAAAACACCAAAGCGATAGCGTTTGAAGAGTTTATATTGTCAGGAAACATTCACAGGAAAGATAGCGATTGAAAATCTCAGGTAACCGTTTCTTTTCATTGTTGTTTTACTGAAAAATGTTGTTCACTCCTATACAAACGCCATTTTTAACTACGTTTTGGACAGTTAACTATACCCTAAAGCATACTTTTTAACTGCAGTTAAGGCTAACTACACTTTTATACAACCGGCTTAACTACGTGATTAAAGTTAACTATTTTTTAAGGCTTTTTAACTACTTTTTAACTGCAGTTAGCGCTAACTACGTTTTTATACAACCGGCCCCAGATGATTTTATTTGTCAAGGGGAGAGCACTGTAACTCATTGGGTTAATCAGCATTTAATCGCAGTCAAGATATAATTATTATATTTTTTATAGTTTTAATTTCATATTGCCATTCTTAGAATAGTTAGTGTAGTATTTTTTCCACTTAAAGTGGCTATCTATACCTAATGAAAAAAATATAGTTTTGTCTATTTAAGGTGGCTCTTTGTTCATGAAAAAATAAATTATTCACCCACTTAAGGAGGCTCTCTGTAGTTAATAATTGATCTACTTTTAAAAGGTAACTCTATGTAGCTAATGAAAAACTATATTTTACCTATCAAAGTTTGCTTTCGATGGTAAATGAAAAATTACATTTTATGTACTTAAGGTGGCTCTCTGTAGTTAATAAAAAATTATATAATTAAGGTGGCTTGTTGTAGGTAATGAAAAAATACATTATTTGACTGCTTTTAAAAGGTATCTATCTGCAATAACATGTATTTTTCTAAGAAACATTGAGAAGATGATCAACTTACAAAAATTTTTTCTTGTTATCAATTGGAGATGCACTACGTTTCTCACTCTCGGGAGAATAATACCACAATTCAGGATCCCATATTCCCTCTCTACATCAAGTATACAAAGCCACTGTTATATTGCACAGAAAAATTACAAATGGATCATTCCAGAAAAGATACAAACTCCCCCGATGGGATAAATTTCTGCTGTTCAAACAAGGAGGGTTAAGACATCCAAAAGCT